CTCTGGAAGAATGACTCCATCATTTAGGATAAATGATATACCGTTTTTTAACAGTTAAACGACCAAAATTGAAAGTTTAATAGTAGCTCTGTTCTGACCCAGTTGCATTATTTGATGGTGCACGGCTTACAAAGTTGGTCAAAAACACAGCATGCGTGAATGCACTTACATGAACGCCAACACCGGCAACTTACGTTTGCCAATCTTCAGTTTCATTTTCAATTCCCTTTTGAGAACGAATTAATGGAATTGTCGCCAGGTCGCACGTTGCCTACATTTTTATGAGCTAGGTTCACTATTTTGACGACTTTTGCGTTGTGTAGCTACGTAATCCACTCTTTCGGAATGCCAAAGAGTGTTGTACTTACACCCCCTGTTTCGTATCCTCGAACGGACTCCGCACAGTATTCCTTTGTATCCGAACACAAGACTCAAATGCATTTCCACGATATCAGCACAAGCTCTAGAAGCACGGAAATGCTCAAAGCAAAGATACGAGAAAATGCGTCGACGATGAGGGGTTTTTCTTCCAACGGTGCAAAAATGGAACCCTGACCAAATATTGCGCTAGAATTACCGTTAGAATGCGTTCTAGGGGATTTGTGTACAGAGAAATGAAATTTCCGGAAAAGCACTCATTGGGAACAGCTATCCACAACAGTTCGTAATGGACATTTATCTTCTGTGAAACTATGAGACAAAAAACATCCCACAGAGGGATACTCAACTACAATTGTGTATAATTGGTGACCAAGAATATTTTCCAATCTTGTCTGTACAGTCAGTAATCCACGTCTAAGCCTCGTTTTCATCTCTGCCTTTAGGTTACAACTGAACTACAAGCAGCAAGACAATGCCATTTACTCGCATTCAGGTGGTCGGGTGACGGAACTTAATGTCAGATTGAGCATGGAGGCACTACATCAGTCAGATGACAGGTGGACAAATAATATAAGCTGAAACTCCATTGCATTGCGCCTCACTGAATCCTATAGAAAAAGCAAACGTCATCCTGGTCATCTGCGAATTGACGGCAAACGGTTAGATTAAGGTCATTAGGGATGGATTGCGTCGCAGAAATCCGGTTACGGAACTCAAATGAATCAATGCAAACAAATTCGGCCTAGCTACATCCTCAAAATGCTCAGCTTAGGCTGTTTTCTGAGTTAAAGTGCTCACATCTTTATCCGCTTCACTAATAACATTCTTTGTGCGCCATATGAGACATATGACTCACAAATTTGATGTTTTGTTCCAACCAAAGCCACAAAATCCTGGTTATATTTGGCATTTTCATAGTTGCAATAACGTACACTAGTTCTTTTAAATGCATCATTACCTTGCTACTTATCACCACATTTTTCAGATGCGCCACAGGAGAGAACTGGCAAGAAATAATGTTAGACTGTGCGGCGGGAAGCGAGTGCGAACGTTCACAGGAATCATGCGGCAGCTCGTTCACCTACCCCTATTTTGTGATCTTCAACTTCCTGTGCACCTTTCTGATGCTGAATCTGTTTATTGCTGTGATAATGGACAACTTCGATTACCTCACACGCGATTCTTCAATACTGGGACCACATCATCTCGATGAATTCATACGGGTTTGGGCTGAATACGACCCCGGAGCGAGGTACAGGCCATGTTTCATTTTATAAGTTTTGTTCACACAGGCCTGCTGATATTCAGAATTACGTGGAAGTCAAATTCAGTGATGTAAAGACTGAATGGATGATACAAACTTATCCATAACTTGAGATGCAGTATTTTATTTTGGGAATACAAACATCGACACCTTGAATCTTCGCTCTGCAGGATCCACATAAGATGCATCATGCCAAAATCTTGGTGAATAGAATCGTTAAGCTCCAAGTACTAAATGTAATTGTGCTCATTTCGTCCGCTCGTGATCTTTAGCACAAAATGCTACTGTCAGCGGTGACGCACATTTTCATACATTCACAGATGGATCCTGCAACACATGTATGATGAATGCCGGTGAACACCAACGAATATGGTAAATCCTTCGAAAAAATTACAGACAACACTCATTGCAAACATCATTGCAAACATGGGCAGGTCGTGGAACACTGACAGCTTCTATTTTTAATGGACTTTGATCCTGTGCACTATCCGACTTCGAATTTTTATTGACTGCACAGAAAGTCTGCAAACGGCTACGATTTAGCTCAGGTTTTGTGAATTTCAGCGTGTTCAGTGATTCAAACCATCACCCTAACGTAGAATTACATAAGATAACGTTGATTACGACTTGTCAGTATGCTAATTTAACTTCACGATGATTTTTGAAATGCCTTTTTTCAGCTATAAAAAGTGTTCTTTAGCCTTTATTCATGTTACTCAGACGAAACGGACAGCTTATTCTTGTAGCTATTTCAGTATTCCCATTCTTATCAATGAAAATGCACCCTCTAAACACGATTGCTTTTGCTAAAAACAAATCTAGGCTTTCTTCACTAGTTAGTAGCCCAAGGTAGAGTGGGTAAAAACGTGAAAACGCTGTGTGGTCACTTCAGATACCACGAACATTTCAATCCAAATATATGTTGTTATAAGGTGATTGTTCCTGGGCACGGAGCAGTATACAAGTTTTTCAGACGATTCGAGATACGTTTTATCAAATTTAACCTGGGTACTGATATTGGTATGATGTTCCCTAAGCTCTCCAGACTGAACTGGATTTTCTGCGACAACAGTCCCTATTTACTTTTTGAGAAAAATGAACCCCTAATAATCCGTTCTGCACAATAGCGCTCTATGTGTTGAAAAAACTTGTACCGATTTACATCACTATTCGAGCGTAAGGAAGGTCAACGATAAAAACAACCAACACTCAAGCAGTTCAACCGACTAGTGGCATGCACTAATGCGGCAGTACGGTTGACTTGCGTCTCATTCACTAGTAAGTTAAGCATAAAATTCTGTCCCGTCACGTGAAACCTGAATTTTGTTCGAACGGAATTCCTAAAAATTAGTAAAAGCGTCTTTTAGGAGAGCGACCTCACGATTTGAGGTCGTTCATCTTGTGTTGCCTGCGCATTGAATCGCCTTTCAAATCGAGCAGGTGTGCGTCCCATAGGATGGATTTATGGTGCTTCTTTGGGATTCCGACGAAGTGCTGAAACCTGAAATGACTCTTCAATTTTCCTTAAAATTCTCCTCAGGGCCTGTATTACCTTGAATTCTGATCCCTTGGGTTATAAAAACCCTATTCCTGACATCGTTCTGTCCCTTATGGTCACAAACAGTTTTGTAGATAAACGAATACCCGATATGATATTTATGTACGCAAGTGGTATAGACTGCAAACCGAACGATTTCTTGATGACAACTGGTGAACTAACAGCGATGTATCGTGACAGTACACTACACAGAAAAAGTGAATAATAATGTACTACGTGCACAATAAAATACCCCTTATTGATTGTACAACATACAACTGGCTAGAAACCAAGCTACGTTACACCTCTAGCCTCACTGTCGCTTCTGGGTTTGTTTATGGCAGAAAACCCAGCGTTTCGTGGACTAAAAAATAAACACAGCTGTTAAGCACGGAGGCATCTGCGGTTATTCCTGTAAAGCTTCTTTCCTACAATTTGACAGATCATGAGAGATAACTGACGGACCAGGTTCAGGGGGTTGTTCCACTCGCTGCCTTCAAAACTATTGACATAGTTCCATGTTTATTTATCAGTGTACTTAGGTGCAGAAAGATGGAATTCAAGTCGCGCCACTATATTTCGTAGGGTAGCTCTTAGTTAGGCCTAACAGATTACTACATGCTCAATCTCACAAGTTACATTATTTTATATTTTAGAGGACTGATTCACCACAAAGATATGTACGAAATGCTGCGAAACATGGAACCTCCGGTTGGATTTGGAAAAAACTGCCCATACCGTCTTGCGTACAGAGTAGGTGATTTTATTCGATGTTCGTTATACTAACAAAACCATAAATGGTCTAATATCTACCATTTGCTTGATTATCACCAACTTGTTACTCGAATTTCATTCTGGTGAAGTTTGGATTTCTGCAACCTGCGAAGTACTAGGCTGCTAAAAGTAATTACTGAATAAGGAGTCCAATGTGATCTATACTTACTAACTAATTACCCAGTAAGGCAAAAAACTATATTTAGTTCCAAGGAATACTCAATTTCGCAAACATCCTGAAATGCCGCGATCATCATTTGGATTGCCAACAGAAGGTCGGCAGGCAGTTAGGTGATCTTCAAGTATTGGTATATTCATTTAAAATTAGTGTTATTCTAAACAGGAAATCTTTATCAAAACAACGCAAATTAAGTGGCTAATTCACATTGTTCTCTTTTTTGCTGTGTCACTACCGATTTTGTGACAGTACCGGCTCCAATTCAAATAGGACGTATTACGCAGAATTTCAAAATTGAATCGGATTTTCACCGTATATTTGTCGTGTACGCACTAGCTTTGTATGACTCCTTCTGCACGCTAGTCGGTACTGAGCAAGTAAAAGTTGGGTTTCTGGTAGATATCTTTTGATCCACTGCTTCCTACCTTTGTAAATTATGTTTCTACAGTTCAAAACACACTCTATGAATATTTGAGTTGTTCTTTCCGTGCGATAAACCACGAATACGAATGCCGCTTGTAATCTAATTCCATTTGTGTATCGTGTGTGCTTTGTCAATAAACAGGTTTATCGTGCTCACCTTTCCGGTACTCACTAGAAGAGGGAAGGAAATAACCCGATGACTTCTGGACCACAAATATGCATCACAGGCATGGAAGTGATTTTGGTAACAGTCATTTATTTGGTGCATTACTGTCAACACAAACCCGGAAGACAATACCGAGCTTGAAATATAGACCAAAACGAAACAACTACCACTGATATGAGAGATTTAATCGCAGGGTGGTTTTTTAAAAGCAAGCCTGCATGGATGAATCGTGATTACCTTCCCCTAAATGTTCATTCTGAGGTGAAGTCTTTCCCAGATGTCAGATAATCCTTCCGTTAGGGTCGCAGCTATGCTTTCCAACTCAGTTATTCCAGGACCCCTCATAACCTCACTTGATATCCAGACGGAATTTCGTGCCAACGGCTTTATCATAACATTTTCTGATCATTTCATTTTTGAACAATACGAACAGAAACTTGTCAGAATGAACATGCCAGTAGATGAGAACGGATGCGTGCAATTCACGACTACATTATTCGCCCTAATACGTGAATCACTTGCAATTAAGACGGGTCCGACGGAGATAATGGATCAGAGGGACAACGAGTTGCGTGAAACCATATGCCAAATGTGGCCAGTTCGTGGACGAAAAATGCTGAACCTCCTGGTGCCACCAGACTCTGGTATGTAATTTTAGTCCACGAATATAAATAATCTTCTGAATTTTGTAACTCCACAACCTAAGGTAATGCGTGCGTGTGTGCTATAATAACCCAGCTATATTCTCAAACCTGAAGTTTTGCCCGAGCTACTAAACGCTAACACACTTAACTGAGTGAGCTGGCCACAATTCTCATTGGCTCAATGACAGAAAAGTTAAGTGTTCTTATAAACACTTTTTGGACACACTGGAGGGGGGGGTTCATGATGTGTGTAACCTACCCTTTTTGTTCATTTAATGGGGTTACTTTTTCAAATTTAGGTTCATTTCAATTATTTAGCCATAAACAGTCCGTCAAGTAAATTTGACCGACCCAAATGAAAAATCAGGATAGATTTGAAGTGGATGAATATACTCGTGGTAGCCATGAGGACAAAGAAGGTAGCGAACAAAGCTTGTTTTCTGTGATTGTCCCCCTTGTTTAATACAGTACAAACGCGTATGGTACCAGGAATCACGTGGAAAAGTTTAAGATCGGGGGTACATACACTTTAGCGAAATAGGAACCGAAGGAAGGAGGAATCGGATGAGGGATAGGCCAGTGGGTCACGAAATCCGCTAAGTGACGTCAGTGTCAGGTAGACTTGTGGGACCGGATGTTCCGTAGGCCAGTTCAAGTTCAGAGGTCAAACAAGTTTCTTTTGGATACAAAGTTGTGGATCCAGCAGCCGGAGTCCAATCGCCTAGGCGATCTATAGCACTCTGGATCGTACCGGTCGTGATCGGTTCAGAGATACCCGGTATATGATAGTGAAGGCTCCCACCTTGTATATGACATGACTGGTTTCGGTCAAATGTGATGTGATTGCGCTTGAGACTGGTTTTCTCAAACTACCACTCAGATATACGGAATTTTTTTCTCGCATTCTGTTCGACAAATGGCTTGTCAAAAGACCAACGCAAGATGCTCGGCACGAGCATACATATGAGTGCACAAAAAGGCTGGTTGTAGAACGTGGCAATTTGTCCTTCAAGCAGAATTTGATAGAGACTGGAGCCGAAGATCAAACGCAGATTACCTGTCAAGTATGTCAGCAAAGTTTCCAAGCTTTTTGCTGATTAGTCCAGCAACTGAGTCACCTTTGAATGAAAGCCTCATAAAAACTGGTTTCTTCCCAACAGAGCATTGCGTAGGTTTGGGCTTACCGGCTTCCATTTTCTAAAGTACGAGCCTTTCAGGATATCCGTTCTGCAGGAATGTGCGTCCCAAGCAGTCAGGGGAGCATATCTTCATTGCCCTCTCAGTCAGGCATCTAATTATGTCACGCGTTTCTTGCGACGGAACGAAGCTATCAAAGTAGATATACTGAATTTTCCACGTTCTCTTGCTGTGGACTTTGCGTTCTATGGTCCCGTTAGTCTCTATTTTACCATTGACATCGAGGAAACTTAATTGTTTATTCTGTTCTGATTTGATAGTAACCTTGATATTGGTATGGACTTAATTGAAACTACTTAGCACGTCGGTCGTGCTGATAGTTTCATCGGCAAGTATGAAATTATTGTTCACTTAACGACAATACAATGTCAACCATCCAATGAGTGCGTCGAACTGTTGAGCCTCTAGTTCGGTCATGAAAAATCTGCCAACATGGGACCTAGGGGTGACCCCATCGCGACCCCGCCCTGCTGTCGATAAATTTGATTGTTGAAAGTAAACTGAACAAAGGAGCGGGAGTTCCTTAAGATCCGAGATCAAAATTCCAATATCCTTGCCGTAACACTCAATCAAGTCACAAACATAGTCTATTGTCCCAGTGAGTGCCATGTTGGTAAACAATGACTCGACGTCCATGGAGAACATGGAGCGTTTATCAACCTTCAAATCTCAATAGATTTCAACAGTGGGACACAGAAAATTGTTTGTCCCCGCCATTGTTTAGACAGCAAGCAGTGGCCCTGAAATATATCGATCGTTACTTCTCCTAGGTTACTGAATGTCACACTGCACAACATGCAGTTATAAATGATTATAAGGTAAAAATACAAGGCCTGATCTGATCTTATGCAATAAAAACGATATTTCAGGTATTCAATACAATTAAAATAAAATTTCATTCAAAATTCTGTGGAGATTACCTTGTCCGGATGGTAAACGTTTGAATCGGTCGACCGGATCGGGGGAAATATAATCACGAAAAGCAGCTGGTTCCATTATATTTCCACAGAACATCCTCCACAAAAATTGCTATCTGAAAGTATTGTCCGAATAATAAAAGGCAAAACAGCCCTCATAAAATCTACGTTACAAAAAACCACCAACCAAAAGCATCCCTTTTAACAAATTCTGGCTCAGGTAACAGTTGAATAATTTCAGTCCATAACACAGCAGTGACTGCATGGAGCGTACCAGATTCCGCACTGTTTGTTAATCGAGCGCCATTGTTTTTTTGTAAAGCATTAGTTGAATCATGGGTTAGACAAGTACACAAGCAATTAGATGAGCACCAGCCAAATAAAAACAGCAGACAAGTATTGCTAAATACTGATTAGACACCCTGTCAGCAGCATACGAATTTGTCTTGTGAGCTATAAAAACTATCCAGTAATATTCCATAATAATCTAGATATAATTTAACCGCACAACTTTCCAGAACTGATCTACCACAAAATGACGGTTGGGAAAATCTACGCAAGCTACCTAATCATCGAAAACTGGAGGACTACCCGCGCATTCCAAGGGAAGGGCGGAACGGCTGTAAGTTTCTGGCTTTTCAAATGGTTTGGTACCGCACCGCATCTATTCACAATGTGTGCCAATCAGCACAGTTTACAATTTTGTTCAGCTTGATCTGAAATAAATTTATCAGCCTAAGATAAATAACCAAGTGTAACTTGCAAATGTAAATGATACTCGCATATTGACTGCTGATGAGTCCTGTTACTGAATTTTTCAGAACTACAAAACTTCCCAAAGACAATATGTGCACTATTCCGCCACGTAATAGATAACTTGCATGTATTTTAAGAAAAATAACCATAAGCCACTGCTCTTTAGCAACTAGTAAAGTCTTTGTGGGTCTCACGGTGATTTTAACCACAAATAAAAATCCTAACTACCTTCATGCTATGATTTTGATAATTTACTTAGTGCCTCATTGATGAGATCATGAAAACCACTGTCTGGTCCCCATGTTAACCTCTCCACATCGCACGTTTCCAAGGCTTGATTTCAATTTAAATTGTCTAAGCCAGTAGGGCAACTCGGCCGACATTTTTCCGTGGTATGAAACTCTGTTTTGGGGAGACCATAAACACATAATGATCTTTAGCCACGATATTGTAATTTGAAGTTTTGTAGCCGCATCAAAGCTATTTCTTGATTGTTTATGAACATTATCAGTGGAAGCCGAATTCGAACCATTACGGATGGAACTGAGTCACATATGTTCCCGAAAGAAAATCTGAGAAACACATTTTTGTCTCCATAGGTTTGTGCTTGAACTTTAAATGGTGTCAGAAAACAATTTTAGGTGTG